TGGGTTCAGATCCTAGCTGGACACTTGCTTGTTGTGCCACTTGAGGCAGGCAAGTTATTTTGTATTAGGTCGGTACAGTGGCTCACGCCTGCAATCCTAGCACTCTGGGAAGTCAAGGTGACTGGATTGCATGAGCTCAGGAGTTCAAGAAGAGCCTGAACAACGGAGACCCCATAGCTACTAAAAATGGAAGAAACTAGCTGGGCCTTGTGGTGGGCGCCTGTAGTCCCAGCTACTGAGGAGGCTGAGGCAGGAAGATCACTTGAACCCAGGAGTTTAAGGTTGCTGTGAGTTAGGCTGATGCCACAATACTCTAACCTGGGGCAACAGAGTGAGACTCTGTCACACAAAAAGTTATTTTATATCTCTGTGTCTCAGTTTTATTTCCTGGAAACAGGGATTATAAAGGTTCCTACATCAGAAAGTTGTTATGAAGTTTCAGTAAGTTATGCTTTAGGTGGTGCCTGTGGCTCAAGGAGTAGGGCACCAGCCCCATATGCCAGGGGTGGCAGGTTCAAGCCCAGCCCCAGCCAAAAACTGCAAAAAAATAAAAATAACATAAAAGAACAGTGACAGTGCCTGGAGTGTAGTAAGTACTCAGTAGGCAATAACCATTACTTATCATTTCCTTTCTTCTTTCTGACAATCAGAAGATGGTGATTATATACCCCCTTCCACCAGCCCCCATCACACACACCAAGTCTTCTCTTCCCCAGTATAAAATACCTCTCCTAGGCCAGGTGCAGTAGCTCACTGTAATCCTATAATCCCAACATTTTGGGAGACCAAGGTAGAAGGATCACTCCTGAGCCCAGGAGTTTGAGACCAGCCTGAGCAACATAGTGAGACCCCATTTCTATAAAAAATAAGAAAAAAATAAGCTGGGAATGGTGCTACATGACTGTAGTAGCTATGAGTACACCTTGTATGTCAACCTGGGTAACAGCAAGACTCTGTCTTAAAAAAAAAAAAAAAGAAAAGAGAAGAAAAGTAGATCTCTTCTTCAGGAGTTTCACATAGGCCATCCTCACTCAGGGTGACAGTGGGCATCCTCATACTGTGGGCTTAGAGCTAAGCATGTCCTATGAGTATGATCTTGTTCATCTAAGAAGAGGGGCTATTGTCTCTTACCTCCCCAGTATGGTTCCCTTTCTAAGCAGACAGTCTAGAACAGGGGTCCTCAAACTTTTAAACAGGGGGCCAGTTCACTGTCCCTTAGACCATTGGAGGGCTGGACTACGGGCCCCAGGATGAGTCGGCTGCTAAGCAGGACAGGCAGCAGTGGCAAAAACATCCGGCCCACTGGATAACTGTCCTAGGCGGGCTGCATGTGGCCTGCAGGCTGTAGTTTGAGGACACCTGATCTAGAATAGTGGTTCTCAACCTTCCTAATGCCATGACCCTTTAATACATGGTTGGGGGTCATCACAACACGAGGAACTGTATTAAAGGGTCATGGCATCAGGAAGGTGGAGAACCACTGGTCTAGACCAAGATGGGCCTGGTGGCCCAAACCACCCCAGCCTGTTTGTAGGCATAGCTCACTGGAGGCTCTTGCTCCTGATGACTCTCCAGGTGGTGACAGTTGGGAGTGACATGATAAGTGAAGAGAGAGGTGTGGTGGTCACCATGTTGGTGATGGTAGTGGAAACAGTGAGAGTGGTGCGGATGCTGTGCGGATGCTGACAGCAACACTGATGATAATTGTGCCAAGGAAATAGGTGACACTGATGGTAGCAATAACAATGATACTGATGTCAGTAATGGAGATGTTGATGACAGAGGTGGTGATGGGATCCGTGACATTGATGATGGCAGTGGCGAAGGAGATGAGGTTGGTGAGACTGACATTGGTGAAGACAGTGGTAGGGACAATGATGATATTAGACACAGTAATAATGATACCAATGATTCTGATAATCATGACGGCGGAAGTGATTCTGAAGGGTCAGGTGGCTGGGATTATAGTGATAGTTGTGCTGGTGGTGGTGACTGTGACAGAGACAATGATGACAATCATCTTGACTAAACTGGTCATGATGATATTGGCAACGTGAATGGGGGTAATACCTATGGTGATAGAAATAATCATGATGATGAAGGTGATTATTCCAATATTAAGGATGGTGATGACAATGGGTCACATGGCCGTGGTGAGGGTGATTCTTTCAAACCCACATACCTATAGAGCTGAGAGTAAATGGAACACCGTGGGCCCCACTGCTCCTGACAAGACAGCCCCCGCCTGTGGCGCTCTCTGAGCAGGACCCCTGGCGTCTAGCTGACGGCCTTTGGTTGTGTGTTTCCCCAGGATAAAGAGCCCCCCTCTGAGAAGAGTCCTGGGGAGTCCACAGAGAAGCAGAACGGCTTAGCACAGATTGCACCAGACCTGACTGTGATCCAGTTCATCAGAGGTAAGTGAGCTCTGGCCAGGTTGGGGGAGACAGCGCCAGAGAAACCAAGGATGCTACACAGGATCCAGTCCCTGCCCGCTGTTCTTGATTCATCTTCTCCACCCACAGGAACCTCATGAGCACCATAAACTCTTTGTGAGCCTTTGCTCATGCAGTCCTCTCTGCCTGGAACAACAGATTTTATTGCTATCTATCAAAGTCTTCCCTGTCCCTCTAGGTCAGGCTCCCTCAAGAGCCTCACTTTCTTCCAAGAGGTCTTTTTTCCCAGCCAACAAGCCTGCTTCCCTCCCTTCTCTGGGCTCTCAGAATGCTCAGGCTTCTATATTAGCTCCAATCTGTGCCATGTCCAGCCCGTCTCCTGAGCACTGTGCTCCTGAAGGTCATCACCCCTGCTAAAGGCTCATCCATGAGCCTTCCTTTTATCCCACCAACTGCCATGCCTGCAAACAGGAGGCATGGAAATTATTAAATTCCCAGTCTGGGCAAAAGTACAGGGAGTTCTAGGCACCTGGGCTTTTGTTCTGGGTCCTTGCTTCTCTCTGGGCCTCAGTTTCTCCATCTGTACAGTGCACTCAATGATCTAAGGTCCATGTGGCTATGATCCTGAGACTACAAACTCAATCTGTAGGTAATTAGAGTAAACACTGTCACCAGAATGTTGCATCTAAAGATTCCAGTCCCGTGAATATCAAGTGAGTGCCTGCTATGTGCCAAGCTCTTGTAGACCACTGATGGTAAGTCAGAAGACCTGGATTTGAGTCCTGCCCCTAAAGCTCACCAGTGCACCATCTTATGGGAGGTGCTTTCCTTCTCTAACCTGAGTTTCCTCATCTGGAAGACTAGGTTGCTCTGGCTCACTCAAGGAGTGAGAATCAAACCGGTTGATGCATGGAAAGCCCCTGTATACTATTACAAACACGATACCCAAGTAAGGTACAGTTCTGTCCATTATGACTCCTACGCTTCTGTTACTGTCCTGAACATGTCTGAGGACAGTAAATTGAGCTGCCTGTGGTTTAGCAGGGCTTAATCTCTCACTGACTACTTTTGCAACAGGAAGGAATTAGGTCAATTTTGAGGAAGAGCTTCTCAAGACTTGATGTTGGGATAACAGTAACCTCTCCCTGGGTTCCTCAGCATTCCCAGAGAGAGGGCTTGGACTCCGGGGCAGGGGCCTGGACTCGCTAGCCTCAGGTCACCCTCAGCTGCCAGAAGGCCCTAGCACACTGCACCGTGGAACTGCTTATTAATCACTGCTTTGGCTCCAGCCCAGAGGGAAGCTGGGGTCAGTTGCCGAAATTGGATGCTAGAGCAAATGTTCTAGGCCAGATTATTTCTGGTGGTTTTAGCTTTAACATGAGCCTTGAGGGGGCCTAGGCAGGGCTGTATATAAGCCCAGTGGCTAGTTAGCCAACCTGCTTCTGCTAAGCCCCACAGGGGCTGGGCTGACCCTAAGACCTGGCCTTGACTGCCTGGGACCATGGGGGAGGAAACATGGTCCTTCAGCTGGAGGAACCTTAAACTCTTTTTTTTTTTTTTTTTTTTTTGAGACAGAGTCTTACTCTGTACCCTGGGTAGAGTGCCATGGCATCATAGCTCACAGCAACCTCAAACTCCTGGGCTTGAGCAATCCTCTTGCCTCAGTCTACCAAGTAGCTGGGACTATAGGTATATGCTACAACGCCCAGTTGGTTTTTTCTATTTTTAGAGGAGACTAGGTATTGCTCCTACTCAGGCTGGTCTCAAACTCCTGACCTCAAGTGATCCACTCACCTTGACCTCCCAGAGTGCTAGAATTACTGACACGAGCCACCATACCCGGCCAAGGAACCCTAAACTCTTAGGGAAAAGTAGTCCCTAAATGGGGGAAGGCCTCTGTCAGATGGGGGAGACAGTCTCCCTGATGCAAGATACATAGTTCATGAATGAAAGGCTAGCCCATCTTGTCCTATGGAAGAGACCTGACCTCTAGGGTGGAGAAGGTCCCTGTCTGATCGGAAGACACAGCCCCTGAACTGAAGAGGTTCCCTATCTAATGCAGGAGACTTAACTGTCTTTGAGTTAAGGGAAACTCCTAATAGTCCCTAAACGTAGCAAAGCCCTGTCCTATTTGAGGAGGACTGTGTTTTCCTCATCAGGAGTTGAGGGAGGCCCTGTCTTGTTTGATGCGGAGACATTGTGCTGAGCTGAGGGAAGACCTGGTCCCATGGGGAAGATCTGCCTCGGAGCTGGAGACAGGCCCTGGAACTCCCCTCAGCTGGCCCCATCTGAGTGAAAGGCATAGCTCTTCTCCTCCAGGAATTTTCCATCTGTTCTGGAGGCAGGCTGTGGATGCTGAGGAGGGATGAAGGATGGGCACAAGTGCACTGCAGTGATTAGTGCAGGAGACTGGATGGGAACAGCGGGATGGAGTCCTCCGGAGTCGGGCAGCTGGAGAGGCACAGGAATGGGGGAGGGGCAGAAAGGGGGAACAGCCCTTGTACTGGGAGTCAAGAGACCCTGAGAACTCTTGGCCTTGTTCTGGTCTCTCTGGACGAACTTGGGTGAGTCCCTGCCCCTCTCTGGGCCACACCATGCAGTGAGGGCACCTGTATAACTTAGGCCAAGCAGACTGAAATTCCATGGCTCTCTCAGGGCCTCAGATGCCCTGAGCAGCTTGTGGCCAGAGGTGGGGCTGGAGCAGCTACCTGGCAAGGGCCAGCTTCACAACTCCCCACTGCAAATGCTGGCTGCCAGCTGGCTGCGTACACTGAGTGCATGTGCTGGGACCAGGGGCAGGAGGCAGGCAGGCCAGGGGTGTAGAGGAGGGGGAATTCCACAGCCGTAACCCCTATCCATCCCTTCTGGACTGTTTTGTCTTTATTTTCTGGCTCCCAAGGAAACAGCTTCTGGCCTGGCCCAGGGATAGGGAACCAAGTGGCTTGGCCATGCTCTGGGGACAGATACAAATCTCACACATCTGAGGTCCTGTCCTGCTGTTGCAAGAACAAAAGGGAGCCCCCACCTGGCCCAGTTGCACCCGCCCAGCCTAGGAAGGCCTTTCCTCCTCTCCCCCACCCCTCACCTCCAACCTCCATCTCACTGACTGCAGGCCCACACACGCCTCTCCCTCTTGTGTTGTTAGTGGAGAGAGGGTTGCCAATGTCAGAACAGAAGGTGCTCTGGGACATCACCTGGGCTGCCGCTAGTGATGAGAACACAAAAGCCCAGAGAGGAAGGGACATACCCACCTTTCCATGCCCTTCAACTTAGCAGACTTGCAATGAGGGCAACCTGTGAACAACATGTTTTAGGGCTAGCAGGAGACTGGGCAGGACCCCACTGCCAGAACACTCACTTCTATTCCTGTCCCCAAGCTTTTACCCTGCTGGAATTCCTTTCACTTCTGGCTCCACCTTTCCAGGCTCCACTTCTCCACATTATTTAAGTCCTACCTCCAGGAGGCCATCCAGAGCCAGGCCTGCTCAGATTTCTCCTTTGGAGGTCTTAGATTCCACCCCAGACATTTTGACATTTGATCATGTATTAATCTGTACATCTATTCATTCATTCCACAAATATTTATTGAGTGCCTACTATGCCCTGGGCTCTAGAGATTCAGCAAATAATACAACAGACAAACCCCCCTGCTCTAAGGAAGCTTACAGTCCGGTGGGGTGGCAACAGTGCAGCTAGATGAGTGAGATGAGTAAGGGGCAGTAGGTTAGGTGAAGTGCTGCGGAGAAACGCAAACCAGGGATGGGGACATGGGGGGAGGTGCGGGCCTGTGCTGGGGACACAGAAGGGAGGACAAAAGCCTGCATTGGCCTGGAAAGAACTATAGCAAGACAGGCTGAGTGAAAAAAAGGAATAGATGAGAAGAATTACAAAAAAATGAGATGAGCTGGGATGGATGAAACAGATAACAGGATAACATGAAACAGAACTATAAGGAATCAAAAAAAGTTGAGCACCATGGCTCAGGCCGGTAATCCTAGCACTCTGGGAACCTGAGGCAGGAGAATCCCTTGAATCCCCAGTCAAGACCAGCTTGAGCAAGAGCAAAACCCTGTAGCTACTAAAAATAGAAAAATTAGCTGAGTTTCTTGGTGGGTGCCTGTGCTCCCAGCTGCTTGGGAGGCTGAGGCAGGAGGATTGCTTGAACTCAGGAGTTTGAGGTCGCAATGAGCTATGATCAGGCCACATATCAAAAATGAAGTCTAACTCAATGAAACAGAATGAAACAGAATTTCAAAAATAGAGTACAATTAAACCAAAAGAGGTCAAGTGCCATGGGGTGGAACTGACTGTAACAGAATTAAGTGGGATGGGATGTGATGGAAGAAATGGAATGGTCTCGGGGGTTGGCAGGGGGCAGGCACGGATGCTGTGGCCGGCCACCTATTCTGACAGTCTCCACCCATGCTCAACAGTCTTCCCCAGGGTGCTGCTGAGGACCCTGCGCCACCCCATCTTCTTGCTGGTAGTCCTGTCCCAGGTGTGCCTGTCTTCTACGGTGGCGGGCATGGCCGTCTTCCTGCCGAAGTTCTTGGAACGCCAGTTCTCGGTCACCGCCTCCTACGCCAACCTGCTCATCGGCAGCTGCACCTTCCCTTCGGCCATCGTGGGCATCGTGGTGGGCGGTGTTTTGGTCAAGCGCCTCCGCCTGGGGCCCATGCGCAGCAGCTTTCTTTGCCTGCTGGGGGCGCTGTTCTGCCTCCTCCTTGGCCTGCCTCTTTTCTTCATGGGCTGCCCTACCCACCAGATTGCAGGCATTCCCCGCCAGCCTGGGTGAGTGTGTGAGCCAGGGCGAGCATGTGCAGGGAGGGCTAGGGGAAGACCGTGGTCTCAGGCAGGAGCCAGGTCAGTGGCTCCAACCTCAGCTCCCCTGTGGCACCATCTCCTCACCTTTCTATTCGAGTTAAGCAGTGGGATGCTCTGAAAGGTTCCAGTGAAGGTGTCAGGCACCCCTAGAAGGGGTACCTGAATACTAGCATAAGACTCTAAGGGCAGAAAAGCTAAGGCCTGGGGCCTTGCTCTTGGAGGGTGGCGACCTCCTACATCTCCCTTCCCTCCTCCTCCAAGCTGCAGGCTGAGACAGGCCAAAGCCACTTGTGCCATGGTATCTCCAGAGTGGCCAAGCCCTCTAGGCCCAGCAGACGGTGGATGGAGATCACATCACAGGAAGCACGACCCAGCTCAGCCAGATGACACAGGCTGCCGGGGAGCTGGGTGGACGGGGGGCAAGCTGGGGCTGGACACCCTCTCAGGGAAACTGCAGAGGGGACTGGGGTACTGGGAAGGGGTTGGACTGCAGACTTCTGACTTTTTAGTTCTTAGAGCTGTGGGGCTAAAATTCTGTTGTTCCATGACCCTAACATTTCAGAATTCTTTTTCCACATGTGTGAGGGCCAGTCCAGGCTGCTGAGGCTCAGCTCCCTCCCACTTCCCTGCCTCCACAACCATCTCTCTCTTTCTCTCTTTCTCTCACACACACACATAACACACTCTCGTTCTTTCCCCTTGGGAGCCTTCTTGGAGAGGATGTTGGAAGTTACATCCCTGCCTGTTTTCCAGAAATGATTTCATTTTTCCTGGAAACTACTCCAGGCTTAGGTTAGCCCAACACCCAGCCAGAATTCCCCAAGTTCCTCTGTCCCCACCTCTTCCTTGGCATCTCCTGTCATCACCCAGGGGCCAGCTGTCCCCACCTGGAGCTCCTTCAGTGTAGCTGTGGGGAGCTCAGCTCAAGGCCAAAGAGGACCTAGCCTATCCCCTGTCTCTCTCAGGTCCCACCCTCACTGCCCTCCCCCAACTCTTTCCTTCCCCTTCCTTCCCTGTCCTAACTCCTTTTCTCAAATGAGGGGCAGGGGGCAACTCTGCTTTCTGCACTGAGGCCTTCTGTGTGCTGTGAGGGCTTTAGCCATGCCCTCAGAAAGCCGGTCTTCTGAGGAGGGAGCCACAATTTTCAAATGACTTTTACAGTAAAAAGTAAATGGGGGCTTGGTGCCTGTGGCTCAAGTGGCTAAGGCGCCAGCCACATACACCTAAGGTGGTGGATTCGAATCCAGCCTAGGCCCGCCAAACAACAATGACAGCTGCAACCAAAAAATGGCCAGGCGTTGTGGCGGGCGCCTGTGGTCCCAGCAACTTGGGAGGCGGAGGCAGGAGACTTGCTTGAGCCCAGGAGTTGGAGGTTGCTGTGAGCTATGCCATGGCACTGTACCTAGGGGGACAGCTTGAGGCTCTGTCTCAAAAAAAAAAAAAAGTAAATGGGGATTTGACCACGATTTTTTTTTAACCACGATTTTAAAAGAGGTGAATGAGGAAAAAGCCAGCACATCCAACATGCCCATCTTTCTTCCCCCTCTTACTCCTTGGCTTTGACAACTCACCCATGCTTTCATCTGTATTCTTGCAGTTTATTTACTGAGTTCTGTCTTCTAATTCACTGAGGAAGCCTTTTGGGTCCGATTCAGCAAGTTGAGGAGAGTTTTTCAACTAATGAAGTCTGCAGCTGCAATTGCTGAGGGTTTCCCAAGTGCCCAGTGCCCCGCCCAGCCTTCCCATACTCCATCTTGTTGAACCTCCATGGGATCTGTGTGTCGGGGCCAGGCTCCATTTTACAGATGCGTATAGTGAGGCTCAGTGAGGTAAAGTCACCCACACAGCTGGGACAGGGGTGAGGCAGCCTATCCGATGGTCAATGACAAAGCAGGGACAGAGTAAGAGCATCCCAGTGCTTACCTGCTCAGCCTTCCCAGAGTGCCCTGGGAAGTGCCTCTCCATGGGTAGAGTCCCCTGGCATAGCCTCTTGATGGGCCTCTGCTCAGACAGTGCCAACCTGTCTCCCCGCCACCCTCGCAGGAGACATGTCAAGACAGTGTCAGACACACACAGAGAGCACTGTCTGGCAGGGGAGGAAGGAAGGACTGTGTGGCTGGTGATCTTCCCCTCCATTCCCATGGAGACCCTCTACCCTGGGGAGGGAAAGGAGCTCACCTTTGCCCATGAACCCCTTCCCCACCCCACACACTATCTGTAGATCATCTCCCCTGCCCCTACCAGCCATCTTTGCCATGCCGTGGAGATTTCTCTAAGCCTGCCAGACCCACCCATCAGCCTGGGCCTCTGCCCACAGCCTTCAGCTTCCCTATCTGGCCTCCTCCTCCATAGCCTGGCCACTGGCCCGGTGGGACCCTGAGCCAAGCACCAGCCTCCCTGGGCCTCTGCCTCTTGGTAGGTGTGCCATGCTCCTTCTAGCATGAAGCCAGGTTGTACTCTTGAGTCCCAGGGGCCACCTCTCAGTGCCCTCCTGCTCCCTTAAACTCAGTTTCTCGCTGACCTCCCACTCCTGTGTATCCCACCTTGCCCTGGAGCAGAAACCCCCCCTGGAATTTGGGAGCAGGCCCTCAGGAGTGAGGCAGGTGGGACCAAACCGTGCCCTGGCAGCAGGATGGCAATGGCAAAGACAAAACCCCAGCCTAGCTGACAGGTAGAGAAACTGAGGCCCAGATAGAGGCCACAATAGGTAGGCGACCCCACAGGTGGTCAGGTCTCCTGATTGGGTCCCATACTCATAGATCTAATTTTCTAAGAAAAGGAAACAATCCATGTCATTGACATGAAATTCTGGGAGGAATTTATCATGTGTTTCCTGTAGAAGAAGCTCAAAGACTCATAGGATATAGGGGTTGGAGGTCCCCTTAGGAGGCCTCCTGAGCTTCCAGCCCTTCTCCCTGCTTATATCCCTCCAGTGCAAGGATTTCGGATTTTGCTGCTATGCCACATGGGGCAGCTCTGACGGTAGAGAATGTCTGTATGGAGCTGCAATCTCTGGCTATTGCTCTTGGGGTGGAGAACTGGGCTAGCAGGGTTGAGGTGGCCCCACTGTGGCCAGAGGGAGAAGAGCCAGGCCAATCCTGTGGCCTTCTCTCCCACCAGTGCTCAGCCCGGGCCAGGGCTATTTCCAGACTGCATGGAGCCCTGCTCCTGCCCATCAGATGACTTTAACCCTGTGTGCGACTCCAGTGCTCACGTGGAATACATCACCCCCTGCCATGCAGGCTGCACGGGCTGGGTAGTCCGGGAGGCTCAGGATGAAAGCCAGGTGAGTCAGGCCTCCAGAAGCAACTTCTGCCTTTCCCTGCCATGTTCTCCACCTCTGAATGCCCTCACTCTGTTGGCTCTCTTTTCTCTGTGTCTGTCTGTCTGTCTCCTTCTGTTGGCAGATGTAGAACACTATTCTCTCAATAAGCTTTCATTCAGCCCGGACCCAGGGCAAGGTGGTGAACCAGATCCGGCCCTCAGCTGTCCACGCAGGGTAGATGCAAAAGGAAATAACTCACAGGAATTGGCCAGGGTGTGGATAGGCAGGGGAAGAGGTGCCAAAGTACATGCAAGGATGGAAGGAGTGTGTCCCACCTGGGAGCATCATAGAAGGCTTCATGGGAGGCGCATTTGTGCCAGACATTCAAGGATGAGTAGGCAAACTAGGAGTTGGGAGGAAAGGGCTTTCTAGAATGGGGAGCAGCATAAGCAGAGATTTGCAAGAATGTAGATTACACACACAGACACACGGGTACACATGTACATGCACGCACACACATGCACACACAGAGTGTTTCAAGAAACTACAAAGAACTAGTTAGAGCAGAATCAGAAGGGTTCATGGAGGGAAAGCAAGGCCCAGACAAAGAAGGGCCTTGAATGCCAGGCCAGGAGAGGGGACTTTACCTGGAAAGCAGTGGGGAGCGATGGATTAATTTTAAGCAGGCAAGTGGCACTTGAGGCCATAGTGTGGAAAAGGATGAGCAGAGTGCAAGATAGGACATGGAGACCAGTGAGGAGGCTGACACAACAGGCCCATTTGGTCAGTCATTCAGTCAACAAACCACCAAAGGCCTCCCAGCCAGGAGCTGAGAATTCAGAGCCAAGCAGCCCAGTGGGGAAATGAGGGCTGTGTGATCAGCAGCAGCGCATTCTGTGTGAACCTTTGAAGGCCACTGAGACAAGCTGGCTTCCACTCCCCCTTCTCCTGGTCCCCTCAAATGACAAAGGGGAGAATATCCACCTTCACAGGCCCCTGTGTCTGTAGTAAAGCGTGGGGGAGGGAGTGTCAGGCTGGTTGCTGTTATATGATAACGTCCCCCTCTCTCCAGAATCCTCCCCTGTCCATCTTACAGACTCCCTGCCTTTAAGCTGGCACCAGCACCTGAGCCCCAGGCTCCTCCAGAGAGAGACCTGGGCCACCCCAGCTGGTGCAGAGTGGAGTGCCTACTGATGGTTGGTGGTCCTGCAGAAGCCACCCAGGCCCTGCCTAGGCTGTGTAAACTGTTGGCATTTGGAATAATCACAACCCTAGCCTTTTGGGTTCACTGTTCTAGTGAGTTTTATCTCCCTGAGAACCTTTCCAGAGGCCCCCAGGCCCTGGCAGGTGGAGCAGGATCCCTGGCAGGCCTGTGGATATGAGTCTCTAAACATACAGGTCAGACCACCCAGTTCAAATCCCTGTCCTGCCTCTAACTGGCTCTGTTACCTCAGGCAAATGATCTAACTTGTGCCTCAGTTTCCTGGTCTGTAAAATAGGCATGATATTATTGAGTGCCTGCTGAGAGTAGACACTGTGCCAAATAAATGCTTTACCCAGATGAATTCATTAAATAGTAAATGAAGAGCCACACACTGTTATCCAGGAAAAGCATGGAGCACAGTGCCTAGGGCATTTTAAGCACTAATATGTACTCCTGTCCATTGGACAGATGCGAAATGGAGTCCCAAGCATGGGCCAGGCATTGCCCAGAGTGTCAGTAGCAGAGCTATATCTGGACTCCAAGGCTCTGTCCTCCCCCAGCCCAGCCTCCTCTTTGGAACATCATGGAGGCTTGGGCTTGGGTACAGTATTTGGAGGAGGGTGCAGCTGAGACCAGGCCAGCACCCAGGGACTGTCACACTGGCCTGGAATTGTGCCTCGACATATCTGCTTCCTCAGGCCAATGGTGAGCTCAGGAATGGGTGGCTCAGCGCCCAGCACAGCTGTGCTCTGTAACACCTCATGAATGAGTGAGTGACCCAGGTGTGATGGGGAGGTGGGCGGCCACTGCACAGGGCCCGATGCCCAGGGGAGTGGCCTGATGCCCCAAGGGAGTGAGACTCAGAGATTGAAATCATTTATAAGAACTTCCAGCTGTGGAATTACATGAATGTGACTGAAATGTCAGGAAAAACCCAAGAGGAAGGTCTCTAGCCTTTGCATCTCTCCCAGCAAGCTTCTGCTTCTAAAAGAAACAGGGCAGGATCTCCTTCCAGTAACCTCGCCTGAGTGGGTTCCTCCTCCACCCTGTCTCCCGCCTTTAGTTGGAGGTCTGGACTTTTCCTGCAGTTTAAAACAGGGCGTGCTGAAAAGATCACACCCGGGCCAGCACAGCCTGGCTTCCACGTCGGCTCTGCCAGGACATGGAGAGAGCATCCAGTCACACGAGCCTACATGTTCTCTCCCTCCACTGCCCAGCCTTCCCCAATCCCGTTTCCTAAGTAACCTCAAGTCCAGACTCTTACCCACACACCTCCAACACCACTCCCCGACCCAGTTCCTCTCCGTACCCCAGCCTTTGTACTATCAGGTCTCATCTCTCTTTCGCTTAAAATTCTTCCAAGGCTCCCTGTATCTCGCTCAGGGCTTCCTAACCCTTTTCACTGCCGGGAGTGTGAGGCTGCCAGGACTGAAGGGGCTGAGTCTGCAGACGGCTGCAGCTGCCCAGGCCAGCCAAGCCACCTCGCACGCTGAGGGGACCAATCCCTGCTACCTGTGGCCCCAGTGGAAGCTCCAGTCTGTGGGGAAGAAAAGCAAGGCCCCGGCTTCTTGGCTTGGCCTCACTCCCTCCCAAGGGCCCCGGCTGCCAGAGATCAGGTTTTTTTTTCTTTTTAATTTAATTTTTTTGGCTGGAGGTTTTCCAGGCTACCTAAGGAGTATGAATGCAGGCTGGGATCAAACACACTGGAGGCCCAGCCTGGGGACATTTTCCCTGCAGTTAGTGTGCAGTGTTTAGGGAGTGATGCTCTTCTGGGTCCCTCCTTCTTTCTCTCTGTAATTTCCTCTCCTGCAAAAAGCCTCAGGCTCAGCCCAATTTGTGTGGACACAGCCCAGGTAGCTGCCTAGCTCCGCACGCCGTCCTGACTCAGCCAGGGGATAGGAAGTTCCGGACACCAGCTGGCTCTACCTCAGCAGGCTCTGGGCCCCTGGGCCTTTCACAAGCCTTCCCGGGCCTCAGGCGTTGGCTAGCTGCCTGCCCTTGGAGGCTCCTAAAGGCTCTTCTCCCCTCTCTTACCTCCCTAGGTTTTCTACACCAACTGCAGCTGTGTGATAGGGGGTGGCCCTGTGCCAGCGGGCTCCTGCAACTCAGCCTGCAGCCACCTGGTGCTGCCCTTCATGCTCCTGGTCAGCCTGGGTGCGGCACTGGCCGGTGCCACCCACACGCCCTCCTTCATGCTCATCATAAGGTGAGGGTGGGGGTTGGGCAGGGCCCGGAGACACCAAGAGGTCCTTAACCACAGGCAGGACGAGGAATTCTGAGGAAGAGTTTGAGGAAGGAGGCCACTTGTGTGTCCTGGTCCCCACCACAGAGTAAGGCCTCACTGGCCTGTCTTCATGCCCATGGCAGCCTGCTGAGGTGAGGTTATCTCCCCCATCCTACAGATAAGAAAACTGAGGCTCAGAGAAGTTCAGGAACTGGCCTCAGTCCCATGGCTAGTGTGGGGTGGAATGGTACTGGTGGCCCAGCCAGAGCCAAGGCATCGGCCTGCCCAGGGGAAGGAAGGCCATACCTGGTGCCCTGTCCTGGCCTCCCTGAGAGAGAGCATTATACTGTGAGGAAGAAGTGGAATCTCCACCTCCACCCTGCATGCACTGGATGAGACACAGTAGATGCAGCTGGGAAACGAAGCTACGTCAGCGTGGTCCATGATTCCGAATGCTGAGCACTGCTTTTTGGTCCAAGGTCTTTCTAACCTTTGTCCTGAGAGTACCTACTGGAACTGACATATTGTCATTTGAGTCCAAAGTCAGGGTCTTCTGGGTAGGGAGTGTTTTTCTATTCTCTCACTCAACAATTAGCACAGAAGCGTAGGGGTATTTTTCACACACACCAAGAAATCCCTTCTGCAATAGACGCACCAATTCATTTCCAACACCATTTACCTGAAGATGGTAACGGATCCCCCAGGTTGAGGGCTCAGTCCCACAAAGTTGTCCCCCACTTCTGCCGGTCACAGCTCCAATTTGTTTTACCTGGGCTTCTGATCAACTGGTTGTAAGTTAGGTTTGACCCCTGCCTTGAGTTTGATTAAATTTCTAGAGCAGCTCTTGGAACTCAGGGTAACACCTACTTACATTTATTGGTTTATTATAAAAGATATTACCAATGACACAGATGAAGAGATGTGTGTGGTGAGGCATGTGGGGCGAGCTCCCGGGCCCTCCCTAGGTGCACTACCTTCCAGGAGCCTCTGTGTGTGGTTCTCCAGAAACTTCCAGACTCAGTCCTTCAGGTTTTTAATAAAGTTACATCACCCAGGCATGATTGATTAACTCACTGACCATTGGCAATCAAACTTTAGCCCCTTTCCTCTCCCCAGAAGTTGGGGAGACTTCCAACTTCCCCAGACTTTTAGCCCCAGCCCTCTAAGCCTCTCTTGGTCCCTCAGGTGATCAGTCCCCATCCTGTTACTTAGGGGCTGCCAGAGTTCAGTCACTTCATTAGCATACAAAGGCACTTATCACTTTAAAGGAGCTGCATGCCAGGAAGACCCAATATATATTTCACAATATCATGGGGACCTCAGAGCACGATAATTCCAATTTTCCCTTTGCTGGGATTATTTTATTCACTATCTACTTTGTAGGAAATTAGAAAGGTGATAGAGCCCCTCACAAATATTAGAAGACATAAGAGAGAGAGAGAGAGCAGAGGAATCAAATGCCCTGACAGGTAGCCTAAGAGAAGTAGAGAACACGGGCTCTGGGCTGCACAGATTCTGGCTCTGACACCATCAGCCATGGGATTTTGGCCAAGTCATTTAATCTAAGTGTCAGTCTCCTTATCTGTAAAATGGGGCTAACAATAGATAGACCTAGCTCATAGGGGTGTGTGGGCTACAGTATAGAATTACTGAGCTAGCCACTGGTGTTATTTAGGAAGAGCCAGAGGATCCCAGGCTGGGATACTACAGTGAGAGAGGAAGCAGGAGGGAGTGTCTAACAGTCCAAGATCCAGGTCTTGCTAAGTGTAGGAAAAAGAGGAAGATTTAATAGGACCAGGTGTGGTGAGAGAGGGGTAGTGTCCACGACCAAGAACATAGGAGGTCGCACAGGACCCTGATGGTCAGTGGGTGTGCCCAGTGCAAAGGGACCAGGCTCTTCACTGAAGGGAGATGGGTGCAGGTCTGGTCTAGGGGGCTCAGAAATGCCCAATTCTCCAGGACTTTCTCTGCTCATCCACACAAGAAACCAATTTGGTGGTTTGCTGCGTTGGACATTTCTGAACTCCCTAGACCAGACCTTTGACAAGGGGAAGGCTGGGTAGTGACAGAGAAGGGTATGGTGAGAGCCCCTCCACACTGCTGCATGGGGGCTGGAAACTCCACCCTCACAGCGCCGTGTGTCTGCTTGTTAGGGGAGTGAAGAAAGAAGACAAGACTCTGGCCGTGGGCATCCAGTTCATGCTCCTGAGAGTTTTAGGTAAAGAGTCTGCTTGGAACCATTGGTGGTGGTAAAGGGGATCCAGATGACCACAGTGTGCAGGCCTGGGGGGCATATGCATAGGAGGGACCCAGTCCCTCACCGTAGGGCTCTCAAGTACATGGGGCAACAGACTCGGCCAGCTCTCCAGAAGGCAGTGTGTGAGCAGAGGCTGTACAGCCCGTCGAGAGGCCACTTTGGGTGCAGGGGTAGAGGTGGGCTTGAGGGCCAAAGACTTCTGAGCCAAGACCCTGGGGTTCAGATTCCCTAGTTGCACATGCCAGGGAGGGGGTGGGGCAGGGATGTGGCCTCCATTGACCCCTGAGCCCCTCTTTCCCCAGCCTGGATGCCCAGCCCGGTGATCCATGGCAGTGCCATCGACACCACTTGTGTGCACTGGGCCCAACGCTGTGGGCATCGAGCTGTCTGCCGCTACTATGACCACGACTTGCTCCGAAACAGGTAAGGCCTGGGCCAGAGAATGTGGAAAGGGTTCTGGGAATGCTCTCAGGACCCCAGATCCTGATAGGGTATCAGCTGAAGGGGAAGTTCCATTTAAGTCCACCTGCTGGGTGACAGGTGGTGTAGCCAGTGCCAAGCTCACAAATCCTATCAGCTGGACATTGTCTTTCCATTGTATAGATAAGGAAACTGAGAGTTAAAGTTAGGCACCCAAGGTCACTTCCCTGGAGCAAAAACTGGCAAAGTTGGGCCTTGACCCCAAGCTGTTTGGCTGCAGAGTCCATGCAGGAACTCAGGGATAATCCGGGGAGCAGCCTGCTTGAGAGGGACTAGAGGCCGGGTGTTAGGGAGAAAGCCCTGGGTTCCAGGCCTGGCTCTGTCTCCCCATTATGGGACTTACCTTGTCTGGGGCTCAGTCTTCCCATTTGTAACATGGGGAACTCAGAGGCACCTAGAGGCACCAAGGCCACTGGTCTGCGGTGGATGTGGAGAGACTGTGCTCGCAGAACTGAGGGCCAGGACCTGGTCACCTCCAGCTCTGGGGAGGGCACAATTCCTGTGGGTTTGGACTGTCCAGGGGGATCTTCCTAGCAAAGGAAAAGTTCTTGAAGGCCTTGGTGTGTTAAACAAAGAGGGAAGAGGGAATATTCTTTTCTATTAGCTGGAGGGGCAATCCAAAGCTGTACTTGTCAGGTCCCCTGAGCCCGCAGAGAGGTTCGGAGAGAAGCAGGGCCATCACAGGCCACACAGCAGTCCACGACAGGGCAAGGAGGTTGCCCAGGGCTCTTTCTGCAAAGCCCTTCACCCTTTTCCAGGGATGGGCCCCTGTGGAGGTCAATGTCTCCCCAAGGCTTCAATGTCTTCAATTGCACAATGAGTGATACCTGCTGACTCCATTCTGTCCCCATCTCAGGGCCGTCCAAGCCCTGGACTGGGAGCTCCTGAGTTCAAAGGTCCCTTATTCTTTCCCCAGGTTCATTGGCCTCCAGTTCTTCTTCAAGACAGGCTCCCTGGTCTGCTTCGCCTTAGTTTTGGCCATCCTGAGGCAGCAGAATAAAGAGGCAAAGACCAAGGGAACCATATGCAGCTCTAGCTTAGAGCAGCAACTGTTGGCATCAGGGCCAGCGAAGAAGACAGAAGATTCTAGAGTGTGAGCAGCCGTCCCAGGGCCCCACCTGGCTAAAAGTAGTTGTCACAGTTGGCACCTCCTCTGGGCTCTTCACCCAAGATTCCAAAGGAGCCCCGTGTTGCAATTCTGACTCCTCCACGAAATGGCTGTGTGACTTCAGGCAAGCCACTCACCTTCTCTAGAACTTTCTTTGCTCATCCACCTAAGAAACCAATTTGTGGTTTGCTGTGTTGGGCATTTCTGAAGCAAGAGGGTCTTCCCCCGGTGCTCCCTGAGACAGCCAGCTGAACCAGAACCAGGCTTTCCTGGATGAAATGACTGCATACCTTTCCTCTAGGCCCCAGGAGAGGGAAGTGGACCATAGTAGGTCAAGGCTGCCCTCCACACTAGGCCCTAGCCCTACTATGCCACTCACCTGGAGCACTTTCTCTGAGCCTCAGCCACCTCCTGTCAGGTGGCGATGACCTTGCCAGCTTTCAGGTTTGTTTAGCTTTGACCATCTGTGTTGTCAGGATAGACTCAGGTCTTCTCCCCAACTGCCGGCAGCTTTCAAGACGTGTCCATTTGGCGCCCCCTGGAGGCAGAGCCCTGAGCTGGACTTTGAGGGGAGCCCCTCAGCGAGGAAGGAACTGGCCTCACACTAGGAACATTCAGACTTAAATGGCCCTTCAGGAGGCTAGTCTGGGGACCCCAAGGAAGATTGGCTAGTGGAGAGCCTCACCTGTGACTCACGAAGTCCCAGCTCTTGTCAAGAAGCCACAGTTTAGGATGAGGCCTAGCACCTGCCTTAGGGGCCCTAGAGTGGGGAGGGAGACCAAGGCCCACACTTGGGTATTTTCAAACTTGAGACCAAACACACACTCACATTGCCAAGATTTCAGACAGGTGACAAGGGGCCACCAAAGTCACTGTGACCTTTGTGAACAGATCCCTAATTTCCCCATTTCCTCCCACTTATCTGGGGCTGTGTAGATAATGTCTCATTCTGTGACACCCAAGTTTTCTGGGATGGCACCTGGTTCTCTGTGCTGCTGGGAGCAGGAAAGCCCAGCTCTGCATCATGAGCGATTCTGTAGCTTGCTTGGGTCTGAATGAGACAATCCTTTTCTCCCTTAGGGTTTGTCTTGTTTTATGACCAGTCTTATCTGACTTGCTCATTTCCCTGGGAGGATAATAGAGTTTCCTGCTTGGCTCCCAGCCTATTCTGCTGCCATTACATCCACCTGGCTGAGACCTGTCAGGAAGCAGCTGACAGGGAGCCATTAACAGCAACTTGCAGAAGGCTGAGCCCAGCCCTGTGCTGGGGCCTGGGAGAGAAATGGGGTGGGGCACACATGGCTCTGGCCTTCTAGGAGGTCTCAGTCGAGGGCTTTAAGGTTTTCCCGTATGGAAGAAAGAGAGGGATACAGAAGCTCTAATTTCCTTTTTATTCTACCGATTAATGACGGTAAATATTTAACAAATATCTGAGCCTGTATTTATCAGTGTCAAGAATTTCAAAGTCTCCTCCAACTAGATGAGGCTTTCAGTACATTTCTGTTCCTTCCCCTTCCCTCCCGTTTCCCAGGTTTTGCAGAAATACTCTGGAATTGTAGATACAGCTTATTATTAAATTTGTTCTTCCATAATGTCTCTTCTATTACAAAAATCCTTTCTTTATAAACTGCATTAGTGGTCCGCAACAACCACATTATTTTCAGTTATTTAGATTTACGCTTTACTGGATTCCTTGCTCATCATTGTTTCTTGTATATTACCTCTTTCTGTATCTTTATATTCCAGGCTAATTTTTATTTGGCTGAGAAACTTCCTCTAGTAAATGTTTAAAAAATGGGATAAGGTCATGAGGCCTTTTTAGTCCTCACCTGTCCAAACTGTCATTCACATTTCACAGACAAGGAAACCAGCTCGGAAAGGATAAGTGACGTTCCCCAAGATGAGAGAGAAAATAAATAGTGAACCCAGAATTGGATCTTGTGGGAACTGAAGCATACACAATTTGGGGAGCCCTCTTTAAAAAAAAAAATACAAAATTAGGTAAGAAAACAAATATGATGAGAAAATATTGACCTAGAAAAATAGAATGATAGATCTAGAAAAACAGAATGATATTTTTATTAACTAACATCCTTGCACACGTCTAAAACACATTTTTCCCCCTTGGTGATTAGAGGAAATTCCTAGAGTCTGGACTGGCTTTTGGATCTGTGCATTTCAAACCTCGTTTCTCAGTGGCTTCTATATCGCTTATATACTTCCTGGGCCAGGTGGCATAAAACACATTCATATCATGATGTGACCTCTGCATAGGACACCTCCATGTCACAACTCTGAGTCAAGTAGTGTGCAGGCATATATCTAGAAGCCTTTCTTTACACAGAGATAACTATCCATAATTTATACACAGAGGTAACTGAGAAACACATAAACACATCCCAGTGAGCCCAAATGAAACCAATTCCCCACAACTCAACTCCATCTTGGTTAGATCTCAGAAGTGCCCATGACTACTCTGTCTAGCTCATATAAAGAAAACCTGAGACACAGGGGAAGTTGGAGTGGACAGAAACAGAAATCTTGATTGTAGTTAAAATGTCTTATCTTTCCAAATTTCAAAAAAAAAGTGAGACTATGAACACCCAATTAACATCTGTCCCTGTGGGAAGGGATCCTGGTGGTCAAGCAACATCTACCTCCAGGTGAGTCTGCCTCTGGGCTGAGCTGAGATATGAAGGAGAAGATAAGGACCTAGTGCTTACAGCCTCTGGCCTGGCCAGGATAAGGGGACTCAGGAGTCACCACAAGAGAAACATGGGGCTGAGAGCTACGGGGGGTAGGTCAGGTCAGGGCCAGGGATTCCCTCTCCCCTAATACATGTTAGTCTCCTGTCAATGAAAGAGCTGTGTGCCTCCACATCAGTGAGCTCACTTCCTTCTCACCCTTTACCAGGGAGTTGGGAGAATGCATTAAGTCTCCAGCCTAGATTCTGCTGGTGGTAAAGTCAGAAGAGGATAGAACTAGACCTGAACTGACATCCCAGTGCCTGGTCCTGAGTTATTTTTCTGCCTGTAGACCCATGCTGGGAAGTCCCAGGGCAGGCAGATGCCCCTCAGGAGCAGGGAGCCAGGAGCCATGACTGGCACACTGATGGATGAGGAGGGAGAACACTCGGACGCCCTCACCATTAGCCAGATGTGCTGAATTCTTTCCCATTCACATGCCTTTGCTGTGCTGCTCCCTCTGCCTAGATTGCTTTACTCCATCCCTCTGCGTGTCTTTCCATCCCCTTTTCATAAAGTTCTACCTAATCTTCTAGGCCCAGCTCAAAGGCCATCTCCAGGGAGGCAGTATGGTACAGGCAAGTGGGAGAGGTAACTACCACCTTGAGAATCTCATAAAAGACATAGACTTTCCATTAAAAAAAAAATACATACAGACACATATACACAATTGTGCATATGATTTCAGGAGTTGAAGACCATCCGAGCCTGGGTGTAGGCCCAGGAGCCCAGGTCAAAAACCCTTATTAGAGGGAAAAGATCAGAGCTGCAGGCTCAGCGCCTGTGGCTTAAGTGGCTAAGGTACCAGCCACATACACCTGAGCTGGTGGGTTCGGATCCAGCCCGGGCCCACCAAGCAACAATGACAGCTGCAACCAAAAAATAGCTGGGCGTTGTGGCGGGTGTCTGTAGTTCCAGCTACCTGGGAGGCAGAGGCAGGAGACTCGCTTGAGCCCAGGAGTTGGAGGTTGTTGTGAGCTGTGATGCCACGGCACTCTACCCAGGGTGACAGCTTGAGGCTCTGTCTCAAAAAAAAAAAAAAAAAAATCAGAGCTGCAGAATCAACCAGACTTAGGATCAAATCTTTATTCTGCCACTTATTCATTGTGTGACCATGAACAAATAAACTTCTCTGCACCTGTGTTTCATCTCCTGTAAAGTGAGACTAATCTTGCCTACCTCCTGTCTCCCAGAAGTTGTGAGGACCAAGTAATACAATATACTTGCCTACAGGCACTACACCTGATGATCAGGATTTGTAAATTTCCTTACCTTTCTCTGTCCCAGAAAGAATGTAATGAACACAAAGAGCATTGGGGTGGGAGGGATGGTGATGACAGAGGGAGGAGGCACATCCCGCTGCCCTGCTCTGGCCACAGCTCTGTTGTCTCCTAATCTCTCCCCTGCTGTCAGCTAGGGCTCAGATGGCCGAGTCTTATCTCTGCCCACAGCCAGCTTGGGGCAGCTTTTCTCAACCAGATTTACATTTTTATTGATTTTCTTTCTCCCTTCCAGAGCAGTTTCTTCCTTTCTGCCTCCCCGTTGGCTACAGAATGGGCCTACCCAGGGAAAATGGCAGTTCTGAGGCTGGTCAAGAAGTGATGGTTCCAGAATGAGTTCTTGAACCAGCCACCTAGCCATCCATCCATCCATTCATTCATTCAGCCACTCACTTGAAGAACATATCTTACATGTCTGCTCTGTGCCTTGTGCTGGCACTGCTGGGGACACAACTCTGTGTCAGGTACAGTCTCTACTGTCAGGAAACTCCTAGTGTTCACAAAGTGACCAATAGTAACAAAAGCATGAGCTGTCATACAGGAGAGGGAAAAGGAAGCCACACACTCTCCCTGGAACCATCAGGAAAGGTTTCCCAGAGAAGGTAAAAGCAGAGCTGGCCTTAAAAATTGGGCAGGATTTCCCCAAGTGGGGAAGATAGGAATGGGCAGGAGAAACAACAGGATGAGCAAAAATAGTGAGGTGTGTCTGAGATAGAGTGACAAAAGCAATGTAGCTAGAGCAGGCCATGTGCAGGGCCATCAGAAGAGTGGAGTGCTAAGGCTGAAGAGACCAACAGGGGCCAAGTGTTGAGTTCCAGATCAAGACTTTGGATGCCTTTCTGAGGACAAGGTGGGAGGCCTTGAAGCATTGATTGATGGGTTATTCCACTGATCAGGTATTTTTTATTTTAAGCAGGGAGTGACAGGACAAGATTTATAGTTCAGAAAGGCTGCTGGCTGCACCATGGAGGCTTTGAGTAGCGAAGGGAAAGGCCAGGAGCTCAGGGAGGAGGCTGGTGCAACAGGCAAGAGAAGCAGAAGGCCTTGAGCCAGGTCAGGAGAGGCATCATAGAAGTGGGACATTTAAGCTGACTCTTGAAAGATGAGTAGGAATATACCAGGTGGAGAAGTTGGGAAGTATGTCTAGGCAGAAGAAACTACACAGATAAAGGCTCAGCAAACAGACAGCTTCTGGCAGGCTTGGGAAATTTCCACTAGTTCCGTAGGGCTGGAGAGAGGGCACAGTGGGGATGAGGCTGAGGAAGTGGGTCGGAGCTCTCAACGTCCTCTGTACCCTGAGCCTAACTCTGGTGGGAGTGCAGATGGGGCCCTTACCACAGTACAGGGCTGGCTATATGGAACTGAGAGCCCTAGGCCATGGTTCTCCTTATTCAAACCTTTCTGTGTTCACAGCACTTCACATTTTACAAAGTCCCTTCATGCTTGATCCTCATGGTTTCCTGGTGAGAAAGGCAGAAAAAGAATTATTATTCCCATGCAGTAGATAAAGAAACTAAGGACCAGAAAGGTGTAGAACTTGCCCAAGGTCATTTAAGAGCCCAGATATTCCCCTCCTAACGTTCCCATGTTGTTTCTAATAAATCAACTTGTCCTTGAATCACATATACAGTAGAGGCAGATGCTGACTAATGTGGTTGAAATGAAAAAAGGTGGGGGGATAGAAAACACATCAGAGAATGCCCCCATTTCTGCAACCTTCACTCTGGAGGTGGGGGCATTCCAGCTGCGAAAACAGAATGAGGTCTTCACTGTTTTGAAATTCCATAGACAAGGGGACCAATCCCAGCTCTGCCATTTATGGGATATGGGAAGCCACTGTGCTCATCTGAGCCTTGGTTTTCTCACCTGTAAACGAAAGAAACAAACTTTACCCATCAGACTTGTGAGAATTTAATGTGATGAAGTAGCACTATAGTAGTTACCCATTGCAGAATAATAAATTTTCCCAAAATTTAGCAACTTGAAACAACAAATATTTATTACTTCATGCATTTTCTGAGGATCCAGAACCTACAAGTGGGTTAACGGGGAGATGCCAGCTCAGCATCTCTAATGCATCAGGCAGGGCTGCAGTCATCAGAAGGCTCAGCTGTGGCTAGAGGGTCCTCTCCTAAGCTCACTGTGGTTGTCATCAGGCCTCTATTCCTTGTTGGAAGTTGGCAAAAATCTTTAGTTCCTTTTTATATGGGCCTGTACATGAGGTTGCTCATGACAAGGCAGCTTCTTTCCCCTAGAATGAATGACCCAAGGAGAATATATGTTACCAAGATGGAAGCCATGATGTCTTTTATAATCTAAGCCTGGTAGTAACATACCATAACTTTTTCTATATTCCTTTGGTCACACAGACTAACTCTGATATAATGTGGGAGGGGGATACCAAAGGTTGTGACTAGCAGGAGGTGTGAGTCATTGGGACTGATTCAGAAACTGGCTACCACAAGCACACAGACCAATGCCTGGCACACAATAGGTAATTATTATTAGTTGCTATTACTCTCGGTATGATTGCAACCTGGCTGGGAAGATAAGATTTGGACGTGAAAAGATGAGAATAAATGAATAGTGGAATGCAATTTGAATTAAGCAATGCTCAATTACATAGTAGAACAGAGTGTATAGGCAAAGGAGTATAAACCAAGGAAAACTTCCTGGCAGAGGTGGTGCAAAGAGGGGAGGCTGATCCAGAGAGAAGACTGAAGGTGAGTATGGTAGGCCACTATTGGTTGCCTTCACACAGCAAATCCCCTCTTCTTCCTTCCAGGAGCAAGGTGGGCACTAGAAGGATGATCCAAGGCAGCAATGGAATGCCTTTTCTTTTGTCAGTGAGTAGGCATTTGACCTCATTTTGGTCAATAACACGTAAGTGGTTGGTTTTCAGGGGGA